ATATCTGACTCTTTTAGTTTTAGGATTTACAAACAACCGTTATGTGAACAAAACTATAATACTCTCTTTAGCAACTTTGTTGCGAGAGTATAAAAAGGGTTAATTTGGATATAATCGAGTATTTCATAACTTTGCAAACTTCATCTCTTCTATGTTCGGGTGCAATCGAACGTTATGTACTCTTGCAACTTCCAAGAATCGAAGCCAGGGAAGTACGTTAAGATCTATAACGTCAACCACAGCGTCGGAATCTAAGCAATTTTTTTAGTACATATCATTATACGTAGTTTAGGGTAGTAGAGATAGCATCGACCCATTTTTATCTTTAAACTATTATCAGGTCACATTCTAAAGAAATTAATCCTGGGTTTCATTAAGGTGCTTCATATACAATGCAATAACCAATCATGTGGAACAATGTCAGCCGGATGTTCGGAAATTCTGATAATAATTATAATGGGGCTAGGTAAAGTGTTTGTGTTGAAACACAACTCAAATAATGGCCGATATATCCAGCATAACATCACCTGTAAGTTAGAAAATCTTTATATTAGGTATACGGACCGATTCACACCCTTTTTGATATACAGAAATCCTGTTGTCAGGAAAGGATTATGTCTGAATTTCAATTCGATATCTCTCACGTTGAATTATATTTTCGGTCAAAAGTCAACTATAGACACAGGGGTTCACAAATTCGGTACCTATGTCTTAAACAGGTTGGATTTGGACAATTCTTGGTCATAAGTTGGCACATTTTAAGGGAATTATTGCCCTAAAATTGTATCCCGTTTTATTAATTACTRTTTACTGTACTGGAAAGTGAAAAAATAAAATGGAATTTAAAAGTCTTGTATGGGAACATTTTCACACTGTCACATAGAAATATGAGAAAATTGCTACCTAATAAAAAGCTCTCGTAAAACTCTCTCATACCATCCCGGTATTTTACGCTTTTAGCAGTTTTGAACAGTACAGTTACATGGGGAGTGGGCGAGGTTATCTTCCGATGTCATCCATTTTCACACTATCGGTAGGGGTCTTGTAATATTTTTGCTAAACAAATTTGGTTATTGTAGCTTTACTGGTTTAGGAGATACATGAGTATGTAAATTAAAATTATTAGAGGACGAGACCATGCATACTTCTTCAAAATTTTCTGCCAACAAATTCCCCTTGCTACTGCAATCCCCTGTGCCGAATTAAAATTGTATGTCTTAATTTAATGCTTAGTTAGGGTACTTTATATGTTTTCGGTTAAAGGCGTTTTGTGAGCGTGGAACAATTACGTGGAGCGATTACGCATATATACGAGCTTGTGATTTTTTTTTGTACTAGGAACCTGCGTACCAAATTTCATCAAGATATCTCAAGTTTACGCAAG